AAAAGAATAAATCGTTTATATTAGAAATTGTGCACTTTTGAGTTTGTAAAAATATTGGTCTAATAAGAATACATGCTCCCAATTTCAACAACATACAATACATTGTTTTCACAATAAATTTAGCCTCTGATAGTCGTTGCACCCATAAACCGCACTTAGAAAAGTGAACAGACAAAATTCATGAGTCATGCGTAATTGTTATTCTTTCCATTCGCTTGTAAAAGTGGGGTTTTAATTATAGAAGATTGGTGAAAAGTGGGGGGGGGGGACAATCGATATGATGTCCCCCCCCCGTGTCCCACCAATCGACGCCCATGCATGCGTGAATAGAGAGAACACCAACTTCGTGCACACAAGGAGAATATAGCTTTAAATGACGGATTAAATTGCCAACTAGTACAGTATAATATAACCTCCAAAAAGACAACCAAACATCAATTAAATCGTTATTTGAAGTGAATATGGCAAGCAAAACCAGAGCGAGCGCAAAATCCAATGACTTAACAACCCAGGCCAGACCACCTGTGGAGTCCAATGAGGAGGATCTCGCCCCTGGACAGCTGGATGAAACGTTAGCCTGTCAACTAAGCAAACTGTCAGACCAACTTAACGGTAAGCTGGACAAAGTCCTAGAAAACCAAAAGGCATACAACAAAAGGCTTACCAAACTAGAAAAGTCATACAAAGACATAGAAAAATCAACTGAATTTGCCATTGAATCTGCAAATGAAACAAAAGAATAAAAGCAACTTGAAAGTAAAATTAACAAAATGGAGGACTACGAAAAGAAAATGGCAGCTTCTAAGAAAAAAATGGCGGAAATAGAGAGTGCACTTATAAAGCAGGGACGCTACTGTAGGAGCTTCAATCTATGATTTAGAGGAATTAAAGAGGATCCCAATAAAAAAACACTTGACAAATTACAATAACTATTACGAGATGATCTTGGTCTTAATGACATTATAATCGAAAATTGTCATCAAACGGGCAAACGTCAAGTAGATAAACCGAGGCACATTATAGCAAAGTTCCTTTATCGGCCGCAGAGAAATAAAGTACGGATCGAAGGGAAGGCAAAACTCAAGAAAAAAACATCCAAAATATATATAACGAAAGATTTACCTGGGGCAGATGTTAAGAAAAAACAAGAACTAGCTGGAATCATGGCCCAGGCTTACGCTGAAAAGAAAAAACCCATCTTCCGAAACGGCCAGCTTTTCATCGACAGTAACCTCTACAGGCCACCACTAAATTATACTAATGAGGCAAATTAAAATTCTAAGGAATAAAAAGAGAAAATATTGTACTTTTACTTTTACATACCGTGACTGGATATTTATATATTTCCTATATCTGAAGCTATGCTTTATGAGGCGCCATCTGTTCACATATTGTTTAGCAAAAAATGACATGGTTTTTTACATTATATATTTATATATTATTTTATATAATATATAATATTTTATATAATATATAATATTTTATATAATATATAAAGTCAAACACAACACCAAGAGTATGTCCCTACTGCAAGGATATACCTGGTACCATGAAAAACATTCTACAGACGAATGCGGATCAGCAACATCTGATATCAGAAATGACCAATGAAATCTCCACTCTGAAAACCATTGCAAATCAACAGAAAGATTTAATTGTGGACCTTCAACTAACAGTTAGAGGTGTTTTAGCTCAGCCTGCATGTAAATGTGCATCTAAGATCCATTGATCTGATTTTGATCCAGGAGAATCACTCCCAAATATCTCACCAAAAAACCCATCAAATAGTAGGCCTACTACTGCACAGAAGGTAACAAACAAATCAAGTGAGAAACTGATTGTGGATGCAAAACAAGAGAACAGTAAAATCAGGAACACGCTTATAATTGGAGATTCAATTATCCGTGATATAAAAGATAGAGGTCTAAACAACACCGAAGTGAAATGTATAAGAGGACAAATCAAGGATGTCAAAGAAAGCCTAGTGAACAAAGCCAGCTCTTCTTTTGAAACTATTATACTGCACGTAGGTACAAACAACTGTGCGTCTGATAAGAGCTTTTCGAACAGCATTAAAGAATACGACAATCTGGTACAACAAATCAAATCAGAATCACCAAAGACAAACGTAATTATATCAACGGTGTGCCCAAGAAACGATGATAAATGTAACCAACAACGAGTGAATTCCTTTAATCTCGGTCTAAAGAAGATCGCCAAGGCTAAAAAATGTGCGATCGACAATGACGAGACATTCATGTTAAAGAATGGATCGGCCGCGAAATCTAAATTGAACAGAGGAGGACTCCACTTATCTTGGGAAGGCACACGATTACTACTAGCGATCATTGAATCAGCACATAAAGTCTTAAAAATCCGCTAAAAAGTGCACAAAATCGCGATAACAACCGCAATAACACACGAAGAAATGATATGCAGAAACAATCCCAAGGGCAACGGTTCCACCAACGCAGTAGGTTTAACAGAGAGAAATAGGATTCAGCACACAACAGCACAGATACATACTGCCCTACAAGTAACAGATATGCATTATTAAATGACGAACTTGAATGCGGAAAACACAATATTTCGATTAAAACGCAAGTTACAAGTAAACAGCGACATAGGAGAGGTGGTAAAGGTAAAACTAAGCCAGATAAAAATTATGTACATCAAATGAATATCGCATTCAATAACGTTAACTGGCTTAGACCCAAAATGTTTGAAGTATCACAATTTATATTTGATAATAAAATTGATATTTTTGGGGTCGCTGAGACGTGTTTAAATAATGATCTGGGTATTTCAGTTAACAGGTATAATTGGATGAGTAAAAACAGAAAAAGTAAAGGGGGAAGAAGAATCGGTATGTTTGTATCTAATAGTATTTTAATTTATAGGCGATTCAAATTTATCCATTGTCACTATCTTATGTGAGGGGAAAATCACGTGGTGTAGAGGCAAACAGCAAAGTACAATCGATTATATTTTTTCCTCTAAAAATATGTTCAATATATCAAAAATGATTATTGACGAATTGAGAAAATACGCTTGGGCAGCTACCATAATATACTGCTTCTAACGTTAGATATGAAAGATATCCGAAGTAAGTCTGACCGAGGATGTAAAAAATATATTTGGGATATTAAACTCGGAGAAGATTTCAATGATTATAAAGCTAATTTAGAAAAAAGTTTTGAAGATTGGGACGCAAGTGCTTTTAGTATTTCTGATGATTTATGGAACTCGTGGAAAAGTACTGTAATTAAAGCTGCAGAAGAAGGCATTGGTAAAAAAATAATTGGGGGAAAAAATAAATCTTGGTTCGATATTAAAAGAAGCTGCAACTGCAATTAAAAATAGGAAAAATGCAGCACTAATTCATACAAAATATCTTAAAAGAAAAGATAAAGATGAGGCCACTTGCAGCTTTTTGTGGCAAAATTACCAACAGAAGCGTTTGTTTGCTAAGAATTTAATTAAACAAAAGATTTTGGAAATGAGGGTCAATAAATCAATAGCTATTGCTAACAAAGGAGGCCAAAGCTGTAGAGAATTTTGGCAATTACTCAGAGGGTCAAAACAGCATATAAATTGTTTCAAGGTACCAGGGTCAGAAAAAATTGTAACTGATGTCAAAGAAAAGACGGAAACGTTGAAAAATTATTGGGAATCACTAAGTAAACATAAATGTACTACATTCAACAATAATATGTATATGACTATAGAATCTTATTACCAATGTTAGAAATGACTCTGTAGTTGAAGATAACCAAAATTGTTTATATGATATAGATATAGACATTGAATCTGTTAAAGATGCATTAAGTTTAGCTAAGAATGGTAAATCACCAGGTGAAGATGGTATCATTAATAAACTACTAAAAAATGGTGGAAAAATTATGGAACGCTCTCTTTTAGACCTGTTCAAAAGAATTATCTTTTTTGAAATTCCCCCAAAAGATTGGAATTTAAAGCCCCATTCCCGGCAAAATTTCACTAAAAACTGACTTTATTTAGAAAATATGCATTTGCATTACTCCAATTTTTATAAATCATGAAAAAATATTGGCATGAATTATAGTTTTACGCAAAAGAATAAAAAAAATGAGAAATACAGACTATTTCTCATAAAATATTACCATTTTCTCGACGAATTCATCGTTACTAGGCAAATTCAGAGGTTGCATCCACTGGAATACTCTCGCTTTTATTTATACTTTATACAGTCAATAAAGTGCGCCCTCTCTAATGAGATTAGTTTTTGTACTTCGCATCTCGCACAATGCGGTCGTTCGGTTAGGCTGAGATATGTTTGTTTAAGTGTCAAAATCTCAGTCAGAATCAGTTTTTTAACAAATTAGAATTAATTCCTGTGAAATATTTATATTCACAAGTACTAGCAACGGAAAATATCATGTCGGCCGTTTTTATGTGTGATAACTGAACCTAAATCGAGGTAAGGCTAGGCCTAGCCTAGCAGCATTGGATAGGCTAATGTTTTCGGCGCCTATGATATTTCTTCTTACGACCTATCGCAAAATTTACATGAAAAATTCATCCGCATTTATTTTTTGTGTGGAACACAAAAAATCAAATTACAGTCTTATTTTACATTTTTTTCATTCTTAGGAATGTCTAAATTCATTTAAACTAGCAATTCCGTATTATATTTATAAATCTTTATAACATTATACAAAAATTAGATTTTTCTTAAAAACCGCAATTTTACCGGGAATGGGGCTTTAAGTATGATTGTACCTATTTTTAAACAGGGGGATAAGAAAGACTTGAACAATTATCGCGGCATTTCTCTTACATCCTGCATATCTAAAATATTTAATAGAGTCATAGCAACGAGTGTTTCAAATTACCTTGAAGATGATAATATACTTTCGGAGGTTCAGGGAGGTTTCAGAAGAAACTGAAGATGCGGAGATCATGTGTTCGTAGTAAAAAGCATTGCTACATGGAGACGTAAGGAAGGTAAAAACACCTACCTGGCATTCCTGGACCTCCGGAAGGCATTTGATTCAGTATGGAGGGATGGGCTTTTAAAGGCTATTTGGAATGTTGGAATTAGGGATCGTCTTTGGAGATTAACTGACAATATGTACGCCAATACTAAAGGAAAAATAAAATTTGGGGATAACTTGACAGAAGAATTTTCTATTGAACAGTGTGTTAAACAGGGATGTGTCCTATCTCCTATACTATTTTGCATATTCATTAACGAGTTAACAAAAATTTTAAAATTGAACGATATTGGTGTTGATATTAATAACACATGGCATGGAGCCCTATTTTGGGCCAATAATATAATTCTGATTGCAGAAAATGAACGACAAATGATTCAAATTTTAGACTTTTAGCAGCTAAATTCGCTGCAGATTGGAACTTGGAATTCAACCATACTAAATCTAATGTACTTGTTGTGTAGTCCGGGGTCATGTCGAAAAATGGGCTCCCGTGGGATTTTTGTGATCATTTTAGTTTTTTGGACGGAATATATACTTTGAAGTATGCTGAATCCAATAAAACGAGTCGCCAATTTTTTTACGCACATCTTTATATGCAAATTAGTTAAAATATGCAAATTAGTTCTGAAAATGTAGGGTACTTATATCTTGGTAAGCACTTGTCGTACAAAGTTGCTTTTTGTAACAAAATATTTACAAATGCACATTTATACTCTAACAGAATAATTTCTCAATATCAACCAGAAACTGTTTTATTGACCTTTGACCTATCTTTGCAGTATATAGGCCTATTATAGTTGTATATATACCTAATGATGACTTATGGTCGAAAGTATTATTACAACTATATATATATATATATATATATATATATACGGTATTAAAATAAGTTGATCCTTCGCCAAGTGAAGGAAGATGCGCTCTCCAAATGATGAAATGGCATTGCCATCTCTACCGTATACACAGAGGTATCTTGGTGCCAGTATGCTGGGCTAGCTCCGGTAGCTGTCACCTAAGAAAGTCCTGCGACTTAACTACCGTGCATTATAAATGTAATTATTTATGGAGCATTTAAAGAGGTATGTCTAAAGATTTTACTGATTCATGAACAATTGTCAAGGCTAACAAATTAATCAGGGCTCACAGAATCGCCTGCCCGACGTCCCAGGGAAACCAAATATCTGCGTTGGGCAACCAAATATAAATAGGGTGCGTCCCGACGGGTAACCTCTTTAACATCTTTTTGTAACATAATATTCTGTTAAAATGTTAATAAAATATTCATAATTATCACAGGGTTTCTCACCTCGCCGGTCATCCCTGTTCGGCTCTCAAAATTCCCGAAAGATTGTAATAATAATATATTATCTGACATTTGTAATGGCAATGATAATATTAACATGCAATGGGCTTCCAACACAAAGAATTCTTTAAGAGATCTCACATTATCTCAATGGCTTGAAGAAGGGAAAAGCAAATCATCTATTAAAAACCATGACTGTAAAGAATGCTCCTACATTGGAGGTATATCTTCTTGATAGCAATGACTTTGAGGGTGCTTCATTGAAATTCAAATTAAAGACGAATACCCTTCCTCTTGATGGAAGCAAAATGGTCTAATGTTCCTAAATTTTGTAATATAAACAAGTAAGAAAATAATACTCTTGCCCTGCTCTAAATTATATTAGAAATGAGGAATCAGCAACTCTCTCTTAACGATTTCCTACATGTTTTCCAACAATTCCAACAATTAGATATTGAAAACAAATTACTCTTTATTCTCGGCAATGACAATATTCCATCAAAAAATTAAAATCTTGATTGACAAATTTTGCAAATCCTTAGCAAAAAGAGCATGGAGAAAAAGGTGTGATCTTCTTAAGATTAAATTGACTTTGTGTTGTTGTGTTTTATGTCTCTTTTTATTTTCCTTTACTATACTACTATACTGTATGTATATTTTCTTTAGTTTTGTTAAGATTACTTTTGTATTAGTAAGATGTTTGACGCACCACCTGTTGAGTGCCACCGATATAAATGGTGTATGTCAATAAATTATTATTATTATTATTATTATTATTATTATATTTTATATAATATATAATATTTTATATAATATATAATATTATATAATATATAATATTTTATATAATATATAATTTTTTATATAATATATAATTTTTTATATAATATATAAAAAATTATATATTATATAATTTTTTATATAATATATAATATTTATATAATATATAATATTTTATTTAATATATAATTTTTTATATAATATATAAAAAAATATATATTATATAAAAAATTATATATAAAAAATTATATATTATATAAAAATTATAAATGTATACAGTAAATATTATTTATTAATGACACAGTCAACACCAAAAAAACAATATCATATTTAGAGGCCGCAATTGTACATTTCAGTTTACTAATGTACAATTATCAAATAATTCTGTACTCGAAAGAGTAACTCATATAAAATTTCTAGGAGTTAATCTTGATGAATTTCTATCATTTCATAACCATATTGATGCTATCGCAAATAAAGTCTCAAAGGTAATAGGAATCTTGAATAAATTGAAATATTTTTTACACTATTCAATAATGTTACAAATATATAAATCCATAATTCTCCCCGACTTAACATACGCAATATTGGTATGGGGCCCCTTCAATCCAACAAAATTAAACAGGCTTCACATTCTCCAAAAGAAAGCACTTCGATTTATATGCAAAGTTCATTTTCATCATCCTTCATTACCACTATTTTTACAAACTAATACATTAAATATATTTGATCTCTATAAAAAGCATATGGCAATATCACTCTTTCAATTTAACTCTTTTCAATAATAAACAGCTTCCTATTACCTTTAATACATTTTTTCACACAATTGAAGATACACATAACTATGGAACCAGAAATAGAAAAAACTTTACCACTGTATTGAAAACAAAAATGGGACAAAACAGTATCAGCTATGGAGGTGCCAAAATATGGAATGGCTTAGAACACAATATAAAAAATCTACAAAGTATTAGTATTTAAAAGAGAAATACATAACAGACTACTTAACAAATAGATAAAACTGGTAATCTTTACTTTACTTGGTCGAAATTTTACTTTTCTTTCCATTATATTTGTCATATTATTACTACACTTTTTTTAAGAATCTTGATTTATAAATGAATCGTCTTCTATTATTATCTTTTTATTTTTATTTTGTAGTTATTATTGTTCTTTCTTTGTAGGGCATCAAAACTTAAAGCCGCTGTGCGTATAAGACACGTACAATGTATTATACACACAGTTGCTGTGTGTAAGATCTCTTCAGTCTACTATACACACAGCCGCTGTGCATATAAGATCTGTTATGGTAATTAAATATACAGCCGCTGTAACTTTCCTGGCGCACTTTTTTCATGGATAAAACACCACTGCTTTGCACATGGATGCGTTGCCCTAGCTAGGGCTACAAGAGCCGCATAGCATTGTATAATACTTAAATAAGGTGCTTCTGCAACTGAATTATTCTTAGTTATTTGGTTTTTTTTTTTTCTTATTTTAATTTATTTCTTTCGAAAGTGTACTTTCTATCACATATTGTCTAGGTAGGCCTGGGCCTAGGCCTAGTCTTATTATGCCTCATCGTCCCCCGCTACACAGTACATCAGTAGAGCACCCCCCCCCCCCCCCACATACAGTACAGACATTTGCTAGGCAACAACGTGATTGCACCTTCCTGCCCAGGTGTTCATGTAACACTGGCATATTGAATAGCTAACCAGTTGTGTGTGTATTTCTTTGTGAAAATGAGTACCGCAGCATAGTCCGGCAGCTTAGCAGATGGATGTGGACGTTCCGGACAAAAGCACCAATTTTTTTTTACATGCTTCTTATGGTCATAACATTCAATTTTTGGTAGGAACCACCTCATCCGAGATCATTATGGCGGCCATCTTGGATTTCAAAATGGCCGCCTAATAAAACCTATGTTTATCTATATCTTCGCTTCTAAACCACTTGGAATTTTAATTCTAATGTCTGAAACTATTTTTATATGGTCAAGGAAAACCATCATACCATTTTTGAATTGGTCAGATTGCCACAAATAGGTCATTTAAGGTCAAATATTGTATGGTATCTTAAAAATTACATAATTGTCATATTTTACATTAGAACCATACCTTGACTCTCAGAATTCAAAATCTTTACTATGAACTACAATATTTCATTCAAGGTCATTTTGGCGGCCATCTTGAATTTCAAAATTGCTGCCACGCAAATCCTATATTTATCAATATATCAGTTTTTAAACCACTTTAATGAGAATTATGATATCTGAAATTATATTTATGGTCAAGGATTTATAACACTTGTGAAATGGTCAGATGGTCATTAAGATCATAAAAGGTCATTTAAGGTCATTCAATGTATATACCATACCATTACTATTTTTTACATGGTCAGATTGCCACAAATAGGTCATTCAAGGTCAAATATTGTACGGTATTTTAAAAATTACGTAACTCATGTATTGCATTAGAACATTAGAATCATATTCATACTCTCAGAATTCAAATGTTTTACTATGAAATATATATATATATA